GAAGGAAGGAAGGAAGGAAGGAAGGAAGGAAGGAAGGAAGGAAGGAAGGAAGGAAGGAAGGAAGGAAGGAAGGAAGGAAGGAAGGAAGGAAGGAAGGAAGGAAGGAAGGAAGGAAGGAAGGAAGGAAGGAAGGAAGGAAGGAAGGAAGGAAGGAAGGAAGGAAGGAAGGAAGGAAGGAAGGAAGGAAGGAAGGAAGGAAGGAAGGAAGGAAGGAAGGAAGGAAGGAAGGAAGGAAGGAAGGAAGGAAGGAAGGAAGGAAGGAAGGAAGGAAGGAAGGAAGGAAGGAAGGAAGGAAGGAAGGAAGGAAGGAAGGAAGGAAGGAAGGAAGGAAGGAAGGAAGGAAGGAAGGAAGGAAGGAAGGAAGGAAGGAAGGAAGGAAGGAAGGAAGGAAGGAAGGAAGGAAGGAAGGAAGGAAGGAAAAGTAGGAAAAGAGGGGAGGGAGAAAGGAAAGGAAGGAGCAACTTGCGGGTGCAGCGGCATCACCAGCTGGGCGGGGAGGAGAACTACGTCCCCTCTCCTCGCCACCCGGTGTGGGAAGCTGGACCGTAGGTGCCCAGACCCGCAACCGTCCCCTGGGGAACCCCGAGCCACTACCTGCCTAAGAAGGGAAGGGCCGGTTGCTTTGGGCGCTTTGACCGGTCTTCTTTAACTTTTTCCCCGCCTGACTCCTCGGTCCCCCGCCCCCGCCCTGTCATGTGGGCACCGCGCATCACGTGCGCACCGACTGACCCCGGCGCTGGCCCGCGGGGCAGGCGCGGCGCTTGGAAGGGGCTCTGGTGTTGGGGGGTCTGGAGAAAGAGAGGGTCGCCCGAACGTGCCGCGCTCGGGGATTGCCCTCTTTGAGTGCAAGTTCTCTGGTTGGACTCTCCTCTGACTCCTGATTGGGGGTGGGGGCCGTGTTTCCGAGCAGGAGCTGGATGGAGAAGCTCGGGCCTGCCACATAGATGAGCTTCATTTAAGTTGAAAGCTGTCATGGGGACTTAGGGAGACTGAGCTCTTGCAGAACTCTCGCTAGTTAATTGTCTTTGCTTGAAAGAAAATTATTGTCTTGAAAGAGGGAAGAGTGAGGTAAAAGTTTCTTGTAAGGACAACTCTAACTAGAATAAAGTCGTGTACCTTTGTTTCCCACACGGTTGCATACGTGTATAGCTCACGTGCACATTGCATGTGCACTATGTCAATATATGTGCATATTCTTACCAATGTGAAGGTGTGCTGGTGGTGACATTGTTCATTAGTCCTGCCTCAAAGATGGAATTGAGCATATCATTGCCAGTGTTTTGAACAACCACTTAATCTTACTTCAGGCTGACTATCAAGAAACACTCTTAGGGAGATGTTCTCTATAAAACCATTTTTTAAAGTAAACAAGTGAAAAGCGATGTCTCAGGTGAAATTTCTTAAATGAAAATTGTCATACAAGAAAATGTTTTCATTGGAGATTCTTGAGTATTAATAGATGATGACTTGAGAAAGGCTAATGTAAACAGTGACTTGAAGGTCAATATTGCTCAAATTGTGAAACTGAAGAGTATGAGTTAGGTAGGAAGGCAAATAGAGTATTTTGGTGTTTTTCAAGATGACATACATGAGGTTCATATATAGAGATTCATGTTAACATATTTGATGCCATAATGCTATCTTATAGCAATAGATATGAGTGTAAAGTTCTGGTTTGAGTCCAAGAAACTCACTGCATAATTAATAACCATGGTTTTGTTGGCAACAAGCTTGGTATTTGTAGTAGAAAGTTGTTGTAAAAGTTAATGCATTGTTAAATTTGACTAATGATAGTGTCGTAATGAGGGCGGTGATTGTCCTATTATAGTTTGCAATGATGACCGAATTTAAATGTTGTATTTATTCTGAGCACTATCTTTTCAGATGGCAAAATGTAACTCTAGCAGCAAGAATATGTCCAGACATAAAGGAAGGGAGATTATTGGGTATTGTAGATGACTTCTATAAAGTCCAGTAGAAAGACTTCTAAAAGTGAGGGTATGAAAGTTATTATTAAATATTGAAAAGCTATCAAGTAAGAAAAGGAATTCTGACTACCCTGCAAAACTCCATAGGACGAAACTAAGATGGATCTAAGAGAATTTTTAAAGAATGAAGCATCTTTATCTTAATGAAGAAGATGATCCTTCTAACAGAGCTTTCCAAACATCTGTGGGCTATATTATGAATTCATGAGACCCCTTTCAATGTGGGTGTTTATGAAGAGAACAAAGTGACCATAGGCCATGAATTCCTATGAAAGAGGGGGTCCTGCGCTAGTTATCATTTAAATCTTGCCATGATTCTGTCCAAGGTAGCCTCTGATCACTTAACTTCTGTATTATATTTTCTTTGGAAGATTATTGCTTTTAGAACTCCTTGGAATATATGCATATAAAGCGATATTTTAGGGGAAAAGTTCTTTTCATTCTGTATTAACTTGCAGTTCCATGCTTTGAGGCTTCATTGATGATTGATGCTGGTAGTGATATTCACAGAGCACCCCCAGGAGCCTGATGCACCTCCTGAGTCACTATTGACCAAAATATAAATAAAAAATCCTCTCTCATGTTCTTCTAAATGTGATGATTCATGTATACAATTTGTTGTTGAAATCATCCTTTCCCTTGTCAAATAATAAATGTTTATTTTACTAACCATTTTTACCATTGTAAGCAAAACGAAATTTTCAGTACCTTAGATATAATGTGTTTGTGTTCGGTTTCACTACAGATTTCTCTTGCTGAAAAAATACGTAAAAACTTCTGGCTCAGTAGATTTATTTTTAGAGAGCCAGTAAACTAGTATAGCTGAAAAGCGTAAATGTGGTTTGTTTAGTAGTTGTATTTTTTAAACATTAATGAGATGATTGATTTTTGAATATTCATTCAAACATTGGGTATTATGTAAAAACTACATGCAAAATCAGTTAAATTAAGGCTGATTTTGCAAAGAAAAGGAGGCATTTGAATAACAAGAATATTGATAAAATGTGCACCAGATAAAATTGCATTGGTTACTCAATTTTTATTTACTTGTTTGGCTAATTTTACATTAGACTTGTCATAATTTTAAATTATCATAATTTTAAAAGAAATTGAACTACTCAGATTTTAAGACATACTAGACAAAATAGATGTAGTTTTTCTACATTATTTAAATGTCTTTAAAACCATTTTTTAAAGGCATTTAATTAAATTCAGGGGATTCCCTTTTTAATTTAAGCTGCTTTTAATCCAGAGTGATGAGTCATGTAAAAAATACCATTTATTGTCACTTCCAATTATTTTTATAAAGTATGGCTTTTTAGTTTATAATAATAAAGCTTCCTCACCAAAGTATTTAATTCTAAATCAGCAGTTCTGTTCTGCGATCTCATTAATGCAGCAGGCTCAGTTGAAGGAAGTTTCTTAAGCGACTGAGATTTAGCTAAAGTGCTAAAGGTTTTTCTTTTTTGTCTTCCTCTTTTTTTTTTTTTTTTTAAGTTTGCCACTATAGTTCACAGAAGTCAGCTACACAGATCACTGTGTCCCACATTTCTTGCACTATGGCTGCTACTAATACCACATGGGGATCTACATAGCTTAGACTTATTGGCCCATTTAGGGTCTCACAATGGAAAATAAAAGGCAAAAGTTCTCTAGTTCTTCCCATTTGCAAGAAGGGCCAAATAAGGCCTTTGAAATTCAGTTCTGGAGAAGATGTACATCGTTCTCCCTCCTATAGCTCCTTTTAAAGATGCCTTCAAAGGAAACTAGATCTAGATTTATTGTTATGCTTTCTTTTTGACTGACATCAGGTTAGTATCCTAAAGTTAAAGCTCTATGCTTCTTTTTATTTGGAAAGGTAAAAACAAATTATGTCAAATTTTCTCCAATAAAGATTGACTTTCCTCCATAGAAATTTAAGGTTTGTGAATATTATCGATCAATAATAAAGTTGGTTAAACAATTTGATCAGTTAATTGTTTTAGAATAATTATCTTTAATGTTTTAGAACAAGGTTAGTGAGACAATTATCTTTGGGCATAATTTATGGGGAATGCTACTGTAGTTTTTCGGTTTGTGTATGTAAT